GGAGTATTGGTGCGAAATGAGTCGACGGTGAAGAAAAGGAAAAGAATCTGTCAAAGGCGAGCTTGCTCAACCTCGCAATAAGCTGTGCTAAGGGAATGAGAGGCTAAGGGAAGCGCGGATAGGAGAGTATGAGGCGAGAGCGCAACAGATGAGAGGGCGCCAGAGAACAGCCTGATGAAAGAAAAATTGCAGCTGCCTGCACTTGCAAGGCCATAGTGCTATTGTTTTCCGTATACAGGAAAGCCACACTGTGATTGTGCTCCGAGGGTCTGTCCCACAGACCGACGAGAATCGTTCCCACGACTTCTACCTGGATCGTGCCTTTAAGCAAACGATGAATCAGTCGAATCAAGGGATGGAAAGATGGCATCTCAATGTCCCTAGGAGATAACCCGTTTCAAGAAGCTTGCAAGCAGTGAGTATGACCAGTGAGTCTGCATCAAGCAAGTAAATGCAGCAGAGGAAAGTGTAGCGATCCGGCAAAGAAGGCGAGGTGTGACGCTTCCGTGGCAAAACGTGCACTGCTCCATGTGACGCAGCTAATCGAAGCTCCAGGCACTCACGCAGTTCACGCACTGACGAAACCGCCCCGCCACCGAGAGCAGCTATTGAAGTTTATGAGATCTTCTCGATAGCGCTCAAGTTTCATTTCGTGAGCTTCGTATGTTATTCGTAACCGCTGACTTTAAAAGCATTCAGATTCAGATAAGGCTTTACGAAAAATGAAGAATTCTTTCAAAAGTGAGGAGGTGATATCACTTCATGTGAATCCAACTCCAATCGTGTGGCTGAACTACTACTGTTGCTCAGACCGGAACGCCAAGAATGACATTTCAGAAATATTGAAATGAACAGTCCCTTCTTGGAGTGTTGGCGGCTGAATTTCAACTCATGGGTACATGGATACGAGACAATTTGCAGTGCCGATCATTTTCAGGGGAACGTTCAAACGCTCTTTGTTCGTACTCATGCAGATTTATAGGGGAAGCTTCGAAAGTCGAATTAGCCGACGCAATGATGTGTGACGAAAGACCTTCGTATCTACCCAGACGAGTTTGCTAACATAAAAGTGACGATCCCAGAAGAGGTCGTATCGAACAGTGCATTCTGCTGTTGGAAGGATAAAGTAGCTTGCGAGCATCACAGCTTGTCGCGCTTGTCGCGGCACGAATGTGGGCAACAGTGGCACTAGGGTCCTCCAAAGTGAGCTGATCTAATGACGACTAATGAAAGCTTATGGACGAGATACTTCGTGCACCCCCATGGCAGGTGGGTTACGACGTAGCAGCATGCGGTTTCATCTGTCATTACGCCATCTCTGTCCTATTTCCATGCTGCATGGTAACAGAATCATGTGGCAGCCTCTAGGACCCAATCGTACGGCCCAGGTAAATTAACTAAGACAAAGTTGTCGGAAATTAAAAACGTTGTCGGTCAAATTTTCAGAGAGAAGTTCGGGTCATGTACTTGAGAGTCTTTTAGAGTTTTCGAATAAAATGACAGGAAAGTAAACGTCCATCCTTTACGAACGTATTAGGTTTGAGAAAATGTCATATCATTTTTGTTAAAAACATTATTTTTGTGGTTGAAAAAATGAGCTAAATTTATTCACAAGTTTTGGGATGATTGCTATATACTCTGGCTTCATTATTCTGTGAAGGTGAGGATGGCTCGAGGAGTTTAAATGGCTAAGCCGCTGTCAATCTTTTCAACATCGAGTCCTTGTTGTTCGCGGCCGAATCTCCACTGATTCGAAGGATGACTACTACCATAGCAGGTGATCTGAGAATGGCCACGTCGGCAGTGACAGGAGAGGCCGGGAAAGGGTGCACGGAGGTAGAGGGATAGGAGTGAGGAACGCCGAGGGAGAGAGGGTCCTGGACCTGGCTACGGCCCACGATCTGGCAATCTGCAGCACGTTCTTCGCGAAAAGGGAGACTCATAAGGTCACCTACAGCAGTGGAGGACGACAAACGGAAATCGACCATGTGCTGGTAAAAAGATCATCCCTCAGAACTGTGAAGGACGTCAAGGTACTCCCTGGCGAGGAGCTGGCTTCCCAGCACAAGCCACTCCTGGCAGACATAGCCATGGAGCTCCCCAAGAAGACAAAGGTAAGAACCGAGAGGAGAATCCGGTGGTGGAAGTTGCACCGTGCAGAGAAGAGTGACCTCAAGCGAAGGATAATGAGCAAGTTGTCTCTCATCCTGAAGGGACAAAGCACCAGGTGCTTGGAGCATTGAGCTGAATATTCCTGACGTTTGACGCCAAGGAGGTACTGGGAGAGACGCGAGGTGGATTCAGAGGAGACAAGGCAGCGTGGTTCTGGAACGAGGAGGTCCAGCGAGTCGTGAAGCAGAAGAAGGAAGCATACAAGCGCTGGCAGAAGACCCGGAGCCCCGAAGGACCTCGCTGCCTACAAGAGTTGCAAGAGGCTCGCTAAGGCCGCCGTAGCCAAGGCGAAGAACACGGAGATGGACGCCTTGTACGAGAAGTTGGAAAGCAGAGAAGTTCGTCTTCAGACTGGCCAAAGCCCGGCATCGGGCTACTCAAGATATCAGGGTGGTGAAGAGCGTGAAGAGCAACAACGGCGCCATACTGAGGAAGCCAGCCCAAGTTCGGAGGAGGTGGGAAGAGTACTTCAGAGGTCTTCTGAACGAGGAGTTCTCCCACGAGAACAACTCACGGGCAGAGGCCACAGCTGGTCCCATCGCACTCTGGACAGAGGATGAGGTTCGGCGTGCACTTGGGAAGATGAAGGTTGGAAAGGCAGTTGGTCCAGATGGAGTACCCATAGAGGCTTGGAAGGCCCTGGGAGAGCACGGGGTGAGGTGGCTCACCCGCTTCCTTGAATACGTTGACCTGCCGAAGGAAGGATGCCGGATGCCTGGAGAACAAGTACTATCGTCCCCATCTTCAAGCAGAAGGGTGACGCGATGGACTGCTCCAACTACCGCGGCATCAAGCTGACTGCGCATACCATGAAGTTGTACGAGCGCCTGGTCGACTCGAAACTGCGGGACCTTGTCCAGATCTCCCAGGAACAGTTCGGGTTCATGCCCGAAAGGTCTACAACGGATGCCATCTTCATCGCTAGGCAAGTGATGGAGAAGTATCGCGAAAAGTGCAGGCCTTGCTACCTAGCCTTCCTCGACCTGGAAAAGGCGTTCGACCGGCTACCGCGAGCTAGGGAGGTCACTTTTAGGGAACGAAAAGTGCCAGAACACCTCATCTCTCTGGTGAGGGATATGTACGAAGGAACCAGGCAGCTCCTTGTATACTCCTCACAATCCCAGATACGCACCTTACGGGGCAACGAAAGGAAGGGAACATACTGGTTACGGGCTCACCAAGGTCAGCTCTGAGCCCGTTCTCCTAACACTAGATGGCTGGTGAAGGGGCTCATGGAGGGACCACTGAAGACTATCCTCTATGCTGACGACGTCGCCTTGATAGCTGATAGTAGAGAGGAACTTCAAGCCAAGGTGCAGAAATGGCAGAAAGTCCTGACAGAAGGTGGGCTACGGCTGAATGTCAAGAAGACCAAGTTCCTGAGCTCCGAAGAGGGTGCAGAGCCGATCGTGGACGGCCATGGTGAGACCATCGAAGGTGGAGGACTTCAGATACCTTGGGAGTGATCTGGCAGCCGACGGTAGTGTGGATCAGGCGGTGAAGGCTCGGGTCAACGCTGCATGGATGAAATGGAGGGAGTCCACTGGAATCCTCTGCGATCGAAGGTGCTCCAGAGCGCTCAAAGGAAGGTGTACCGGACAGTGGTGAGGCTGCGATGCTCTACGGCGCGAGCGGGACGTCAGAGCGGTCATGCAGACTGCCCCTGTCCAACTAAAGGTACGAGAACAGCGTCTGCGATGGTATGGGCATGTGCTAAGGAGGCCACAGGACCATCCGATAAGAACAGCGATCGACTTCGAAGTACAAGGCAAGCGACCGCGAGGAGCCCCGAAGAAAAGGTGGAAAGACGTAATCAAGAAGGACCTAGGTGAGGTCGCGGCCCACGATGGAAGATGCCCTGGACAGAGCAAAAGTGGCGACGGCTGACAAAAAGCGGATCCTGCGACTGCGCGGGACTAACGCTAGGGAGAAGAAGAAGAGGAAGAAGATTACTACCAGTGATTCCAGTGAATAAATAGCCTTATCTAATTTTTTCAGGATAGCATTAAATCAACTTTTGAAAATTTATTTCTATTGCGATGAACAACTGTCCTCACCGGTTTTGCCATGACGTTCGCCGGTTTCGCCACAACGTTCTTGTCCTGAAAATCGTTCCTTTATTAGTTGCTTATGTAATTCTTCCTATCAGGTTTCAGATCGAGTTGAAGCATAAACTCGTGAATAGAGCAATAAATTCACTGAAACTGAGTTTTAGCGGTTGTGAACCGTTCTGTTCGACTGTTCGAACGAAGGGGGAATTTTGTTCGGAAGGGGGGGGGGGCGTTCTGCGATTTGGCGGGCGGTGCGGAGCCACAGGCGCGTGGTGCGATCGGAGGGGCAAGGGCTTTGCGTGTGCGGGGTCCGCGTTTAGAGTGGCATTGTTAATATGCATCAGAGAACAGTTTCAGGCACATAAAGGGTTTGTGCGGGTGGGAGTAAAGCAAGCTGGGATGCACCCTATTGAAAGTTTTTGATAAATCTTTCTCTGGCTGGAAAAAAGTTCGGAACTATTTTTGGGGGACGCTTCTGTCCGAGTGTGTACTGTGAAATGTGTACGGGAGTGAATCTGTGTCTTCAATGTCTTATACCACAAGCTTTTAAGGAAAGTTTCATGGTGAGCTTAAACTCGATGGATGCCGCAACTCAAAACTGAGAACAAAATGTTCGACGGTGTGATTTCTCGGAAAGCCGGATTTTGAAAGACGGGTTGGTGTTGCGAAGGAGCAATCGAGTACTTTTACAGGTTGAAAGCATCTTCAGAAAGTTGAAATGAGTGGTTATGCCCTGCTTAGATCAAAACTCGTGATTTCGAAGTTGTTCCGGCAAAACCACCATAATGTTCGAACGGGTATTTTCTCGAAATATGAACCGTTGAAACGTTTGGGGTAGGGGAGAAGAGCAATCCTGTTTTTCCCATGAAAAAAGTGCATCACAGAAATGAAAATGAAGTGAGTTATGGTCGCTGAAAGCCCAAAAACTCGCTTTTGCACGAAAAATGTTCGAACGGGACAATTTTTGAAAAAGGGGACAATCACTAAACTTTTTATACTTGTTAGAGAAATATTTGAAGTTTCTGAAACTTTTTACAGATTTCCAAAATGTCGCATACGAAAGATTTTATGGGCCTTCAAAGTTGAAGGTGCGCCTTCTTAGAATTTTGGGTTTTCCGCTTCTAACAGAAAGTACTTTTAGGAGAGTTAAGGCAATCCTATGTAGTTCTGAAAGCGCATGCAGCACCAGATCAAATCTACTTCAAACAAGCTAAAAAAGTATTTCCGTCAAAGAAAGTTTTCCCTCGAAAATTGTTTCTTCTTTCGCTGGCGGGGGGGTTGTTGGTCTTTGGGGTGTTTCTGCAGCGGCGGCGCAGACTGCGGTTCAAGGACGCCGGCAACGGATTCATGTCTAGCACTCTTATTAACAAAAACAGGGGGTCGCAACTGGACCCCCTCGAGAGCTAGGGGGTCGCAAAAATCCCGAAAATGTTCGAACGTGACGGTTGACCCTGCATGGAGGTGCTCTCTCCCATACTTTTTTGAGAAGCAGAACTACAGGGAAGAGGTAAGGCGCTGGGATAGAGCAGTACCCGTGGGTCAAAAAATCGGTCGAGGACACCCTCGATAGGAGAGGTCATATTTGTCAGGGTGGGTCATGAAGGGTCGTACTCATTGGGGTCAGTAACGTCAGATAGGAGAGAGAGGGTGTAGCGCAGCAGAAAACAAGGATATGTGAGAAAACATGAGATAAAATATTCTTTGCAGGTCCAGTCATTTACCTTTCATGAGAAGGACGTATTCGAAAGCAGTACAAGGAATGAAAGTGCAGGACAAGGAGCGAAAGTGCATCTCCGCAATATCTACAACGTGCACCTCCTTTATCTAGGCCCGCTCTCTCGCCCTTAATACCTCGTTGAAAATGAGGCAGTTGTTAGGGAGCTGTCGCAAACCGGCAAGAGTTCTGGAAAGACCATGGGCGAATGAAGCTGTTCCTTAGGTTACAGGAGTTACGAAATGTGTTTACTACAATACAGTTTCTGTCAACAGGTCATCATCATATGTGTAACACCTTTCAATAGATTCTACAACTTGAGTGGATGGCCTATACTGAGACGAATCGGACGATGACGATTGCCCTTTTCTTGTCGCTTATGTTGGGAGAATTTATTCTAGACACATTTCGAGCGTTGCCAACGAATTACACTTGCAATGGTGAAGAAGGGAGCGGCTTTTCAGCGGCCGAGAATCATCCTCGATAGATCCTCGACGCAAATATCTCCTCAACTAAAGAATGTAGAAGGAAGCTAAACATACTGTTAGAAAGCGCAAAACTTAAGGGCCTCCCCATTCCAGCTACTTTCTCTCAATTCAAAAAAGCGGTATCCCTCTATCTGAATCAGGGTAAATAGGGATTTTTGCTTGTAACATATTACCTTCTTTTTTAGATCCGTTTTATTGCTGCTGCATCTTCATTTTTCGAATGTTACTTTGTATCTTCATTTTTATTGTTTGTTTAGCACATGTGAAGAACATGTAATAAATTGAAAACCTCCGCTTTCCAAAACTGTCTTCGCTTTCCGAAGTCCTTGCAAAATTAGAGAGATACGTACTGCTCTAAAACTTATGAAAAGGGGAATGGAACCTTTTCATCGAGAGTGTAGATTTCGACGGTTTCGAGCGGGGTTTCGGCAAATCTGACCCACGGATAAACCGCGCTGCAACTGAATGCTTTGCTGTACATTGATGGAACTCGCTTATTCACATCAATCAAAGTTAGAGGGGTCGTATCAAGATCCCGATCTGAGGGGGGGGGGGGTCGTACTGATCTGACCACGTCCTCGATACGATTTTTACCCTGCCCGTGGGTCAGGCGAGAAAGCAGATGGAGCAAAACGCGAAAATCAGCTTACTCGCTGATCACCTTTATTCTGGGAAATCCCGGACCTAATGTGCCTTCCAAAATTCAAGCCCATAGCTGGCCTGGCCATGCATATTCGGATAACTAACTCGACAGAACCCTTGTGCTTGCGAACCAGCTTTCCTTTCGATCAGAAGTTTCCCTCAACAAAGTGACTGTCTGTGATGCTCGGTAATGTATGGATGCTCGAAGGAAATTATTTTACATGTCTTGCATAAGAAAATGAGGAACAATAATGAATCCTGACCTTTGGTTTGAAAACGTCTGCGTTATTCAATCCAGCGAGAGTTTGGTAGTTTGGATCATAGGTGCCCGCCATTTTCTTTACTTCTGGAGCTCGAATGTTATTACCACCTTTCGGTGCAGCTCCACCACCCTTGAAATTTCTTGTTAGAAAAGAAATCAAAAAGGAGAAGAACAAGTCCTAGAGATTCTACCAGCAAACTTCAAAGTGCAGTATGGCAACTTCACGGTTCTAACAATGAGACGGGAAGGCATTTTAAAGCAAGCTCTCCTCTGCAATACCTAACTGCCACTGGAGAAACGGGTTGTCGTTGGAAATTCTTCGAGCCGGGAGGAACGAAGGAGGCGAGTGTGTAGTAGGATAGCTAGGGAATTTCCTCGACATCCATTCCGCTACTGGGACGATTGTTTTGCGATACTTGATAAGGCGTCCCATCATTAAGCATTTTTTATCTTTGTGAATTATTCCATTATGGAACTATCACGCAGAGCAGAAAGAAAAACACAAACCTTTGGTTTGAAAACGTCATCGTTATTCATTCCAGCCAACGTCTGGTAATTGGGATCATAAGTGCCCGCCATCTTTTTGACTTCTGGAGCTCGAATGTTACCGTCACCTTTCGCGGCACCGCCACCACCCTTGAAAGTTCTTGTTAGACGTGAAGAAGTGAACCTATTCCAATAAGTCCATTAAAATTAAGAAGAGGAGTAACTGCTAGAGTTCAAGATCAGCAAACTACAAAGCGGTTGGATGACAGCTTACGCCATTTCGCCATTTCGTGATGTGTACCTGACTACCACCGCTGTGTCGAACCCTGTCGAGAATTCTTCGACTAGAGGAGTGATGATGAAGTACTGTTGGCCAGCGAAGTTCATCAACACTCATCCCGCTATTGATGCTTCTGATATGATGCCTGATAAGGCGTCTCATGATTTCTACATTCTGTCATCCTATAAAGTGCCAGTTTTCTGCCCGGCAGCGGACAGGGTCTACAATGGTCTGCAAACGCTTCACGCCTTTTGCGGTACTGGCACTTGTGAGGTCAGTACTCGTGGAATAGAAGCTAACGCGTAAAAAAGTGTCTTGTATACTAGAGTCTCACCGCAATGACAGTTACTTAGTATGAAAATGCAACATTTATTGGGACGTAGAATTTGGTCGCACAGAGTCCTTCCCCGTCCTCGTCCCATTCTCCCCCCTCCTACCCCCTTCCATTCCCTTGCCCCTAATCTCCCACTGCTGTACTATGTATGTCGGGCCAAAATAACGCTAACCAAGACATCGAATCATTAAAAAGAATTTCATGCTGAAGCACACTGACCTTAAAAAGTGGTGGTCACCCCTAGCTCAAACCAAAATTAGGTTGGTCATGAAACTCGTCAACCCTGGAGGGGCCTCCAGTTGGACAAGGAAGGCGTACACGATTGCATTCATTGTCAGCTTACAAGAAGGGTCCTTTAGGCAATCCGTGCTTCTTCAAAACAGTTCCTTGCAGACTGTAGGAGACGCATGTATGGACCACAAAACCATGTTTCATTTTCGCTGAACGGTTTTAGCAGTATCAAAAAGTACAGCAAAGATACTGTTAATGGTTCGATTCCCGTGGCGTAAAATTTTGCATTCAAACTTGGCCGCTACTTCTTGGCCACCATGTTTATGAATATGACATCTGATTTTGGCATTTAGCGCGATTTGGCACCAACCCGTAGGCGCCAACCCAAATGCAAAATTTAGTCGCCACGGGGGATCGAACCATCAACAGTACCTTTCTTCTTTTTTGGTACTGCTAAACCGTTCAGCGAAAATGAAACATGGTTTTGTGTTCCCTACATGCGTCCCTACAATATGCACAAAACCGTTTTGAAAAAGCGTGGCTTGCCCTGAAAGACCTTCCTTGTTAGAGAGCTCCCTTGCCTGAAACTTCGCCCGAAGACCCCCTGTACACATTCATAATATGGTGATCATACCACTCGCGACTTCTTCGGAAAATTCCGACCCGCCACTAAGTTGGTCTCACACGAGCCATCACCACCCACTCACCACCGAAACATATCCTTCCCCCGCGGGGGGGAAGTGAATGTATCATGAACATAAACCAATTCGCGCAGCTCTCATTCATTTGTACTACTTCAACACAACATTGTGCACAAATCGTGAGAAAGAAGCCCCTTTTGACGACACTCCTCACACACCGCTCCACTATTGGAACGCTTTCCAACCGGAAAGCGCCTCTCTGGCAAGACAGACGCTGACATGTTCAGAAGTTCCAATTTGCTTGCTGCGACCGCACTTATTGAGCGAAACTACTAAAGGTCGACATGCCATGGTATCACGGTTGTCGAGCATAACATTCTAAAGTCAATTATGGGGTTCCGCTCGAATACTATTAAGAAGGAACACTTCCATAATTCTGAGTCCCGGTTGGTCTCTTGAATCCAATTTTTTTTCATTGTAGTGGAAACATCAAGAATAGACGATTTGTGTAATTGAGAACTTGTATCTGGTGGCGACTGTATTCAAATCTCCGTCTCCCAATACGACTATTGATATGCGTATCAAGCAATCGTGCCATAATCATTCAGTTACTTTACCTACAGAGCTGAATGATTAAAAGACTCCTCGTGCTTCACTATCACTGATAAGTGATAGTTGTATATTAGTTGAAAGTACAAACTGGAAAGACGGTTTCGTGTGACAAGATTCGTGCGTTACTTCTAGTCTGTCAAGTGGATGGTTCCTCCAAAGCTTACCAAATAAATACGCTTAGCCGGTTAAGTAACTTCCTCGAGGATTGTTATCGATGGTTTTCTTTCTCAGACCATCTCATTCCGTGGAAGCATTCACGACGATACTGGCTGCATGTTCCATTCGGGTGATCACATTCGACATAATACGTCGTTGTTGTCTGTTGCATTTATCAGATAGATCACATGAGACGGGCCCCCTAATGGGACTCGTTGGGTCGAACAACAAAGGCATTTTTACACCAAATCTTCATAGGGTGATTGATAGCTCTCCGATACGTCGGCTGATCGCGTAATGATGTCGTAGTGTGGCTGGAATTGTTGAAGTGACCTCGTTGGGCTTAGTTTGCATCTCGCGCAGTGGAAACTGACCATGGAATTTCTCTCTTGATCTTCTTATCATCATTATGACAGACGTGATCAAGTCGACTGCACACTGACATACCCTCCCTTCGAAAAGCCAGAAATGTCGGGTGCAGACCATACACCACAAGTGACGACGGCCTCCAGAAAATGCAAATGTTTTTGCCAATGAAATGATTAACCTGTTACAGTTGTATTCGATCAGTTGACAGTAATTACAACTATCATTTACTAAAAATCAGCTATCACTATGAACCACTACTAACCAGATTTACTTGGAGGCCGTCGTCAGTTGTGGTGTTTGGTCTGCACCGCACAATTTCTGGCTTTTTGAAGGGGAGGGTACATTCATGCTGACATCACCACAAATGACACTGAACTGTTACCACCTCCATGGCTGAATTTACTGAATGGAGTGATTCTACAATAGACGTGACCTGCAGAAAAGAAATACCCGCATACCTTTGGTTTAAAGACGTCTTCGTTATTCATTCCAGCTAATGTCTGGTAATTGGGATCATAAGTGCCCGCCATCTTTTTGACTTCTGGAGCTCGAATGTTACCACCTCCACCGCCACCTGCCGCACCTGCGAATTCTCCACCTGCGTCCTGAAGCATAAAGTTATGGGAGACACAGTGCCCGTATATCAAATTCTAAGTGTTCCACATCACAGTAGGGTCTATCAATGAAGAGATCTACAAGGGTGTCCCAAAGTTCGTGCCAGTTTTTGAACATTATTAGCAGCTTCGGAATATGTTCAGGTAGACTACGAAGTGTAGACTATGTGAAGTAACTTGCGAACAAATTCGCGCGCGCCATAGCTGGCTTCTGCGAGTTCAAAATGGAAATCTAACAGCACAATGCTCTTCACTTTGATTTTTGAACTTCTATTGAGCCACAAACCGGTCGAAACAAGGAGTAACATTTGTTTTGCGCCACATCTCCCTGTAGCCGTCCACCATGCAATAGAGAGGCCTTCCACGCTCAGCAAATTACGTCCTGGAAGGAAATCTTGGTCCAGAAAGGCAACCTATGTCTGACTTGGATCTGTGTACATACAGTGCTCCCTCACTAAAGCCAATCCGCACGAGTCAATATGTGACGACCATAATCGGACGTTTCAGGTACATAATTGATAGAAGTCTTCTGTCACCCCCCCCCCCCAATCCTCCTTGAAAATTTGTTGAGCTCGGATAAAGATATTCTCATGGGTTAACCAGCAATCACAAGAGTGTAAGACGTTTTCACTCGACACCCCCTACCTTGTTCCACCGGGCGCGGCGGCTTGGTAACAACGCCACTGCCAATGAGAAGCGGCGATTCTATGCTAACGAAACGTGGAATCACCAGTAGTGCTGCAGGCAATGTCCTTGATTGGTTTATGACTTGGTTACCAGTTTGT